TCAAGGCAATGCCATCCAGAGTAAGGATCTTGTTAGTCACAGTGTTACTAAGAATTTTACATCCAGTACGATGTCCTCAGTTTTATCTGAATTTAGAAGCACATAATAATGAGCATTAAAAGTATGTGAACATGTATGATATGCTTTCTGAAGCATGGATAATATAAATAGAAATGGTCCCAGCATGAAACCCTGTAGAGCTTCATAATTAACCTCAGTGTGTGAAGAGGACTCTCCATTTAATAACAGCTGTAATAAAATATGGTCAACGGTATCGAACGCTGCTCTTAGGTCCAGCAGGAAAGAGTTCAACATTTCACTATGAATGAATGCTGGAAACTGATTAAATTAATGTCTGATGATCTTTTCTGTGTTTCTTCAAGTTTGTAACACTTTGCTTGTATTCTTGCTTCAATCACTGACATGTTCAATATAATCACTATGTCAGATGAGAAATTAAACCCTGTATAGTTTAAAACTTTAATTTAATCAAACTGAAATGTTGCTGAACTCTGATGGATGTGTTATTTAATCTTGTCAACAAAATCAGAATCAGAAGACTTTATTTATCACCAAGGGACAATTAAGAAACAACATAGCAGCATAACGTTAAAGATAAGGACAATAAGAGTGAAATAATAAATACACAGAATATACAGTTTTAAAATTACACAGTTTTAAAATGAAAGTGACTGAAAGGTGAATAAATAACTGTGACTAAAAGTGAATAAAGTGTCGGTAGTATAAGAAGAGTGTAGTTTATGTTTATGGGTGTGGGAAATGGAAAATGGAAATATCGGCTGGAGTTAAAAAGCAGAGTGGCTTTGGGGACAAAGGTGGCTAAGGACAAATCCGTAATCATCTAAATCTGACATTAACCATCTTTTAAAATGCTCCCCTGACACTCTTCACCTGTCCTGTGCAGCTGGTCCAACCCCTGCCTCTTTAAACTGGTGTATTTAAATCTCTTTACCTCTGTTGTGAACTTCACACAAAGTTTGTGGTAACAAAATCAAACTGATGCAAATCTTCTTTGAAAAATTTACACGCATGAGACAAAATAAAACAGACTGCTCAAAGTAAAAGCAGAGCTTTCTGTGCACTCTATGTGCTCTTTGAAAAGCTGATTGTACAAAACACAGTGGCAACGTGTGTATTAGAAACACTCCCTACAAAAGCATAAATATAAAAAATGGAATCTGCAAGAATAGCATCCTAAAAACTGGCATTTCTGGGGGATGTTGCAGTGAAATAAAGAAAAAAAACTGCAGCCAAATTTTCATCTGAAAATGTTGAATTTTAGTAAAAGCAGTGCTCTGTAGTTTGATACTGTCATCAGACGAAGTGGATGTCTAAAGCCTTTGGACATGCAGTAAGTCTCCTTATCAGTTGGAAATATTAAAGCCATAAAACGACTTTTGGGAGCAGCTAAAAACCATTAAACAAGAGCAAAGTTGAGCCTGTTCCAAAATTTGAATGTACACGTGTTGAAGGCGCAAGCTAAACACATTTACCTTTAAATTCCCGCATTGTTTTCAAACTATACAGTACTGTGACTTACCGTTTACTCTGCTCTTTAGGCTATTTTTTCAGCATTATTTATTCTCACTTTAATTTTTGGATTTCAGTTTCTAGTTTGATTTATTAAATATAATTACTTGTCCCCATGGTTATTTAACTTGTTTATGGTAAGGTGAAACAATGTTTTTCAGTTTTAAGACAGCCTTTAATAAGGTATCAATTTAATTTAATTTAATTTAAGGTACTCTTTTGTACCTTAAAGTACATTAATTTGCTTTGAAACGTCCAACAAAATAATTTAAACTGTTTGTACCTTCATCAGCCAGCAGGGGGAGGCATTTGCTCAATAAGAGT